GAAGATTACTAGGATCTTTTGGCATGGTTTACTAAAGCTGTAAAAGTTAAAATTTCCACCCTAATATTTTTTCTTTCCTTTCTCTCTCTGCTTTTTCAGATTCTTTTCTCCCCTGCTATGAGAAAGGGAGACTAAAACTTTTTTCTGTATGTTTCTCAGAGTACTGCAATTAATTGGAAACTTTACAGTATTTATCCTCCAACTATTACTTTAGGACAGAAGTAAAACTCAATTTAAAGGATTATAATATGAAAAAAAGTCAGTTCTTTGACCTCAAGGTAATTTGCAGGGTGGTAATAGTCCTAAGAGAAATAATAATGATAAATATATTTACTTTTTTCTTTACACTTAAGGAAGGGTTTACACATGCTAAACTTCACTTGATATTTAAAACATCCTTGTAAGGAAGACAGGACAGATATTATTTTCCTGACTTTATAGAGGAGGTTGAGATAAAACATGCAACATATTTAAAGAAGTAAAAATAACTAGATAAACTCATACATTGTGATTGTAACTGGATAAACATGTACATACGTATTGACCTTTGAACAACATGACTTTGAACTACATGGTCCACTTAGACATGGATTTTTTTTCAATAAATAAGTACCACAGTTCTACAGGATCCTTGGTTGGTTGAATCCACAGATACAGAGGAACTGCAGGATATGGAGCACCTACTTTAAAGTTATACTTAGATTTTTGACTGGGGAGAGGGATCGCCATTTCTAATCCCCATGTTTTTCAAGGGTCAACTTTATACACACATACACACACACACACACCCATACACCCATAGTTTATCTTTGGAAAGGTGTTTTGGCTTAAGAAAATGTTTATCCCACTAATCTGCTACAATGCTTAAAAATTTCATTTTAGAAATTCCGTGCTCTAGTGTCCACAAGAAGTTCCATTAGAACATAGATTTAAATAGAGAGAAATGCAAAAAACATTACTAGACACTAATAATTTACAAGTGGATCAAATTTTACTAAATGACAATTGGGCTCCTCAGAAAAACAGAAGGTTAGGGTAACAACAGTCTTAGAACAAAATAGGAAAAGTTTTGATGGGAAGAAAGAGAGAAAGGTCTTGATAGACTGAGCTAAAGCCCTGGGCACAATCAGCCTGAGGATCCCTGAAAAACCTGAGTAGGGTGGAGGTGGTGAGGATGTCAAAAGAGAAACGAACTGACTAGATTCACAATTTTGTTGTCGTTAAAGCCAAAACCAGGGCTCAGATTCAGTTTCCTATGTTGGAAATTCACCTCCAAGATACAAGTTTCCTCTTAGACCTCAATAAACACTTAATGGTCCTTTCAAATTAAATCAGCTGTGGTACCATCCACTTTTCAACTTGCCACCACCTCCCCTACCTGCCGCTACCCTATCCTTTCCTAGAATTAAAAAAAAATAAAAAAAAAAGGCTAGTTCTAAAGTCATTTCTGTTCTCATTCCTATTTATTTATTAAGGCCAAAACTTGCCATCTGCTTTTCTATTTTCAATACCACTCTCTCAACTTCTTACATATTTGTCACAAATTTAAGATTCTTTGGGTCGCTCATTTAATAAAAAAATTCAACTGCACTGTGTTGCTACACGCTAGTCAAACTTTAGGTCTGTGTTCTTTAGCATTCTCTCTATAACTACTTCCTCCACTCAATCCTTCATCTACTCGTAACATTTAAATGAAGGCTATGGACATTTCAGTGCCTAGCATGGTGCCAGGTACATAGGTGCTCAAAAAATATTCGTCATAACTTTATAACTTTAATAACTTAAAAGTTACTAGATAGGCACTTTCGGTGTGCAAAACTCTGAAAATCTTTGGAAATAGTTTCTTCAAAGTGAACAAGTTCATAAATTCATTTGGCTGCAAGTAGGATTCCTAAGTTATTTCTCAGATTCATGAAACACTAGACCAGAAAATTCTAAAAAATCAACGCAAAAGCATAAAAAGCAGCTTAGAGCTTAAACTTTAGAGGTTTACAAAATTTAGTGTTTTGTCTTCTTTTAATTCATTTACACTCTCTTCTCAGGGTATAGAAACAAAACCAGTTTGTGCTGTTGCCACTTCAGAAGAAGTTGTATATGACCTAAGAATTGAGTACTAGGGTCGTTTAATTTTAATCTTGTTTAGAAAACTGTCTGCTTACCTTGGGAAAAGGGCAAACTGCCATTTCTCCCTATATGGGGACTGCGGAAACAAGAGAAACCCCTACACATCGTTTCCACAATCCCATATTATGCTAGGGAACTTCTAATTTTGTTAATTCATTAAACTTGTTACGAGTATTTTTGGCCGGGACTGTACTCAGAGAGGTATACAAATCCTTGCCCCTAAAGAGGTTACAATGCAAAGAGAGAGAACCATGCTCGGAACTCAGAACAAAAGCTGTGACTGCATAATATACTAGTGGAGGTGGGGGATGGGGGTCTGGAAGCCCAGTTGTTACTAGGAAAGCAGTTTCCAGGAGGTGAAAGTTAAGGCCAGTTCTTAAAGAGACTGACTGAAATGATTTGCTGTAGTGAACCTTGGAGGGCCTTCTACTTAGGAGATAAACATCCATCCTGATTTAAAGGTGGGAAGTGCCTGAAGTGCGGGAAAACGTAAGGAGACTGACTTCCCAGCAGTCAAAACACCACTTAGGGAAGGACTGATTTTGAGGATGCAATAGGTAAGTCTGGGGAAGTCAGCTGAGGAAGGTGGGAAGGGACGGAGACTTTTTGTTGTTGTTGTTACATAAAAAGCTTTGATATGATGTGGTGGGCAAAAAACAAAGAGGGAAATTACATGAGAAGAAGGATTTTTTGACAGCTCAGTAGAAATGAGATTGTAATAGAGAGGTCCTGAAGCTCAGGAAACAAGCTAGACATGCTATAATTTTGGCCTAGGTTGTTTAGACCTGGAATAAAATGCTAGCTGAGGAACTTTTCAAAGTTGAATAAACAGTAATAACAATAAAGAAAAGGTAGTAACAATAAAGAAAAGGTTATGCTACAAACTATTCCAATACTACCATTTAATTATTAACCCAATTAACAATAATCTCCAGATAATTTATCTCCAGCTCCCCCTTTCTACCCAGTACCTCTTACTAGCTTACATCTCTAGATCCAAAACAATTTATTGAGGATGCCCTTTTCAGTACCCTCCACCTATGCCTTACTCAGCTTGCCTTTGCTTTGTCTTCTTCCTATTTCACCTCCTCATTTATTCAGATCATTTTAGTCCTTAAAAGACCCAGAGTACCTGCCACCTTTTCTTTAAAGCCATTTATGATCTTCTTTCTCTGAAATCTGTCTGCTAGTCACTTTGACCACATGCAACTTATATACTGATTAGAATTTTTGACTATTGATTGTCTTCACTGGATTTAATTCATTAAGTTTTTTTTTAACTTATAATCATTGTAGAAATTTTAGAAAAATAAAAATCACTTGTAACCTCACCATCATTAAAATGTTGATCTATTCCTTTCAAATGTTTAATGTGAATAATTTACACATATTTAAAAATACAATACATACATCTTTGCATCCTGCTTTTAGTTTTTACTTTTATACAGTTATTTTAGAGGCTCCTGGAATCCAAGCAGTTCTACTTAGAATCTTAAGAACTCTTAAACTCAGCTGCTACTCCCCATATCCTCTCATAATTCATGGCTGCTCCTCCCTTGTGGCTCTTGCTGTCTGCTTAACTACTCAGTGTGCCTTGAAACCATTATTCAATCCACCTCAACCCCTCTCTATCCTGGCACAGTGTTTGGACAGAGCTTTAACAAACTTCCTATGGATCTATTGCCCTTGGGTCTGGTGCTCATCCCAGTCCAACAAACTGGTGCAGAGGGAGAAGGGGTCATGTAGTACCATGAGATAATTTAAGAGGAAGGAAACTCTCAGAGGAATCAGAATGGCAGGCACAGTTGGCTTGACCTTTATTCCTTCATTTCTTACATTTTGAAAATAAGATTTTTTTTGCTGACTATTCTGTCCTGTGAATATACCAGATGTATCTAACCATTCCAATAGTGCTGAACGGTTAGTGTGTTTCTGATTTTCACTATTCTAAATAACACTGAGATGAACAGCCTTCTAAGTTGCCCGAGTCTCAGGTAAAAACTTGTATTTCCAAAAGTAGAGTTACTAGATCAGAGGTGGCACTCTTGATAGCGTTTGCCAAAGGACCTTCCCGAAGGGTTTTATGGTATTAAAATATGAGCAAGGATTTTGACCTTTGTTATATTTTGCTTTCTAGGAACCACAGGAAAATCTATACCGTATGCCAGATATACTTAATTGGAAGAAATATTTTCTCTTAAGAGATGCTCTCATGTAGTAAATTCAGTGCATCTTAGAAATTAAGGTGTTAGGGAAGATTACCAGGCAGCAGTCTGTGTCTTGAGTAGGAGGAATGCACAGGACAGAATTGAACTGGAAAGAATTATTATGCACTTAAGTACATAGAAAAAAAGAATGAAAGGCATATTAAACTATACAAATTCATTCCTTATCTTTAACCTTTATGTACATAATTACATTTTAAGCAGTTGAACCTTCATGTACATGTTTGGTTTTTTTTTCAAGTACTAATTGATAAGACTATTGTTATCTGTATAAGAATTCCCAAGGCCAATATGCCAAACGTTAATTAGCCATTTCCCTTTGGTTAGAAATTTTTTTCCCTTCAAATTTTTGTTGTTTGGATAATATGCTATGAATACCTTTGTGCGCTCATTTTTGTTTTCAGGTCGTGTCACTGAAAGATACTTCCCCAAGTGGTACTGTTGATTAAAAATGTGAACAATTTTATCAAGATATTGTGCTCCATTGACACGTTAACATTGCATGTTTGTCTCCCTGGGTCTTCAAGCCCCCCTTAGGAGATAGTGGCTATTTCTTTTCAATATACCCCACGGGGCAGCGGAGTAGAACTGGCTCAGAGCTGAAAACAAAGTAAAAGTTCAATAAATTTTAATGAGTCAATCTTCCCGTACCTGTAGGCTTAACTTCCCTCTTTTCCAGATTTTTCTCCCTCTGTCTCTTCCTTTCGTTTCTTTTCGGAATCTACTTCATTACCTTAAATTGGCAATTTCAGGTAAGGTAATTGTGGACAGAGGTGCCTTTTCCTGTTCCTTAAATCTTATTTCTCAGGGACTTTCCCATTGTGGAAACTTATTCACCCGGCTGCCGTCCGAAGAAGCCAAATTCAAAGCAGTCACCGCCACTGGAGCTCACAACCGGGTGCCTCCTCAGGAAGGAAACGTTATCTTGAAAAATTTCTACGTCAGTCAATTGGGCAGATTTTGAAGAAAACGAGATTGGCGGGCGCTTCTGTCAACCAATTTGACGCTGAGTGAGTGGCAGAAATTCAATAACGGAGTAAGGACGCCCCGGGAATAATTTGCGCCTCATAAACTCGGAGGAAACACTGAAGCCCCCTTCCCAGGGCCAGACGGCTACGACAGGTGTGAAGGCCACCTGAGTAGGAGCTTCTACTGCCCACGCAGAGGCACCAGCCGCGCTAGGAGACTCCACCCGCGGACGCTGAGTCGGAGCCCGGGCGCCGGTTTCCCCCTCAGGCTCGTCACCACAAGTCTGCAGTCGCCGTGCAGACCGGTCCCGCCCCCTCCCGGCACCCCGAAGGCGGGG